GAGAGAGACAGAGAGAGAGAGAGAGAGAGAGGGGGGGGGGGCATGCAGCGGATCCCACAATCCAGTACATAGCATTATATTCGTTCTTGTTCGTACGACAGAAAAGAAAGAAAATCTGGATCGGTACTAACAATAGACCTAAGAAATTTTATCAAGCAAATAATTGCATCAGATACTTTAATAGGCGTCCCAATTTAATTTTTGACTGTGTTAACAACACGAGTCCGGACTCTTCATACCAGTAATACTAGATCTAGGCCCTAGGCTAGACGGTCAGAGAGAGTAGTAAGAACGTATAGGCCCTAGGCCTACGCAATGAAAGGCTTTGGGCAGGGGGAAAAAGGAGGGAGTGGGGAGCTCAGTGAAAAGGAAATACTTGGGTCTAAAAAGTCTCGTTTTCTTTATACTATCGAATGAACTAAGGCACAATGTGAGGTCAGTGATTATAAAACATTACCACAATTAATTAACTTTTTGAACTAAAGTTTAAAAATCTCTTGGCGATGTATTTCCCTGTCTCGTACATTTCAAACAATGAAGATAGGGAGCCAAAAGCTCAAGGCGAAAATGTGTGACGTCACGACTCTGCGCGATGTCACGGTGGAAGGGTTCAGCTAGGTTTTCGCGGATTTGGTTGATAAAAGGGTAAGACTACACCAGCCAAGGTAAGACTTCTACGATAAACATTTAAACGTTTTCTGGAAGAACAAAGAATGGTTTACCAACAAGGGTAGTTTGAAAAAAATATGACAAGAAAATTTATCAAAAATCAATGGTTAAAAACTGTCTATTTTTCAACTTGAAATATTTCGAGACTCATTAGTCGCACATCGACCTGGAAAAAAGCGTTTTGAAGGCCATACACAGGTCTTTAAAGACATGTATCGGACTTAAATGTTGGTCCCCTAAATTAAACCAAAATGTGGGCAGTTTGAACCCACTGTCGCGATGAGACGTCATGTCCGGAAACAAAACCCTACGGGACTTTCCGAAGCCAAATGACGCTATAGTGAGCGCGTTCACTGAAGTGCCTATAAATGTACTTGTTTTGCGGCAGTGGTAAAAATGCCACCGTCTTCGACCGTAGGCTACTATAGTGCATGTTGTAGATTTCAAACGCAGCCCGTCCACGACTATACCCACATGTACTCAAGTCTTCGATTGCCAAACTCGCTTACACAACATCAATACAAAAGACGACTAACATTTCTTATTATATCATAGATCTATTGTGAACGCTCTTGGTGGCTGTTGTTCGTTTGCTTTAGTAGAGGTTTAACGGCTCTCGCAACTGCATAAGGTCATATGAACGCCAAGGGGTGGATGTCAACAGTCCTTTATAGGGAACCGGCTTACTCTGTTCACCTCTCTAGCTTCAACTTCAACAGCACAAAGTCTGCTCCGACTATTAAGGCACTCAGGAAATCCAGGTGAGAGGTATGGGTACTATGATTATTAACATTAAAATAAAATAAATGTATATATATGTATACAGTCTTAACCAAGAGTTAAGGACCACTTGCAAAATTGCAC